TGAAATATTCAATTGATATTGATAGTATAATTAATTTGAGTATCATTTTTCATCATGTAATGCCACTTTAATTCTGCTATTTTATCATTTTGATAAAAACAATATTTCATTTTTATTTTATTAATTTAAAGGAAAAATGAAAATTTCAGTTAATGGAATATCATCGTAGAAGAGTGATAACAGGTTTAAGCGATGCAATATCACATGCTGCAATTTCAATGTTCGTCACATCAGCAACTACCGCTGTTGCATTCTTTGCTAATCTTGCATCAGAGATTATGGTGCTTAGGTTGGTGAAATATTTATAACTTTTATTATTCCTAAAATTTTAACCAACTAAAAAAAAAGTAAAACGAAAAAAATAAATTTTTTAAATCTGAAGTTGCAAATTTTCACATCAGCCTATATTATTATTAGCAAAGTTTTTAGAAAATAGAAATAAAAATTATGAGAAAAAAAGCTGCTTTATTTCAAGTTTTTTTTCAAGCATTTTGATTTCTTTATTTAAAGTATTTTGGTTTTTCTGTTCCAGGTGTTTTGGCATATACGCTGGTATATTAATGATAATCAACTACATACTTGTGATGATAATATTACCTGCTGCAATTATTATCAGTGATGCAGGTGTTAAATCATTTAACACTCCCAAATTTTTCATTTCAAGATTAAAATCTCGAACTACTCAATTATGGTATAGTGCAGCGGCTAGTCTTGATATTATATTTAGCAGATTAATTCCACAAATTGTATATATTGTTCGAATACCATTGATATTATTAACACTTATTGCATTTGTTATATCAATTTATGCAATTGTTAAAACACCTGGAATTCGGTTACCGGAAAGAAATTCAATTCAGGTTATTCAATTAATTTTTTTTTAATTTTTTAAGTTAGAAAATAATTAAATAATGTTGTATACACAATAAAAGATTGATGCTTAATAAATAGGAATCTTAATTAAGTAAATATTTGACAGTTAATCTTAACAAAAGAAATCAATTTTAGTAAAAATAAATAAATAAGTAATTTTTTTATATTTAGTTTTTACGTTCCAATCATCCGTATGAATGGTTTGATGAAAATGCTGCAACATTATTCGACTTTTCTATCGGTCAACAACCAAAAATGAGTGTTATTGCTATTTGGGGTGTTAAACCAACAACGTTAGCAATTTGAAATTCATTTAAAATAATCATTACATTATACTATTTAAACAAAATTTTAAATTCTAGACAATACCTTGATGATATGCATAATTCATATGTAAGAATAATACCTCCGTAGCATTATGTGTACCTTGGAAATATTTCAATTTTCTGAAAAAATTTCCCAAAAACCATTAATAGTTTACTAATTTCAAGGTTAGTACTTTAGGAATTGCTGTTGATTATGTATGAAAATTTGAATCAATGAGAAATCTTGCAAATTTATTTGTTCATTTAAGAGATAAAATATAATTTTGATAAGTTTAAATCGTTTTAGGAGTGGAAGTTTGTTGATTCCTAAAGAAAAAGGATCACTAAATATCAATACTGAATTTTTTGATTTTTTGGCCAATCATCTATTGGAATTTCAGATTAGTTGTTAATGAAAAATTTTCAGGAATATCAGGATATGTTATTTTTGATAAGTTTAATGCTAGAAATTTTACAATTATTTGGAAAATAAATTTCAAAATCTTCTTCTAACGATTTATTTCCAAGAAATTAAATTAATGTGTTGCTAGAATTTGAATTATAGTATTTGCTAAAATAATGAGGCAAAACTTTTTAATGTAATGTTTACTAATTTTAAGCACTGCTCAAACATATCAGCTATCAAACCAATCCAAATGTGGAACAAAAATTATGGTTAGATGAATTTATTAAATGGACAAATTTGAATACAACATCAAAAAGTTGCCGGCTATTCAGTGTAAAAAAATCCGAATTATCAACTGTTAGTTAATTATTTGGCTAATCTTTTTTTTTTCATTTTTTTTAAATGTAAAATTAATAATTGACATTAATTCTGTTCTTAAATTAACTTGGCAAATGATTTTACAATGATAATTTTATATTTCTAAACAATTTCTTCAAATATAAGGAATTAATTAATTTGTTGAAAAAAAGAAATCTTCAAAAGACAACATTTTCTGATAGTATTGAAAAAATTCAAATTTTTTTTTTCAGCCAAAATCATTTTCCGGTGATATGCTTTCACGTTGTTTTCTTCATTTTGCACATGCAACATCACTTCCAATATTTAACCAATGGCAACAAAAAAATAGCGATGGACCAATTTTTGATAAAAATGGCGCCATTTTAGCGTATTTTTTACTAACGTATAGCAAATATAATTTATCAACCGTTTTCAAAGAAATGAAACCATTTTTTGATTTTATGAAAAACATTAAAATGGAACAAAGTAAATTTTCAGGTAAGTCATCTGACTTATTTACGTGTGGAATTATCACCCAACATATTATTATTTTATGTGTAGAATTGTCATCCCAAATACTACTGTTTATGTGTAGATCCCAAAACATTTAGAATGAATGAAAAGATTTTATAAATCTTCTATATATTAAATAATTAAGCATAGATTGCACAAAAATAATTTGAAGCAATTAATAAAAAATTAAAAATTTTCGAAATTATTTTTAAATTATTAATAAAGAAGAAATATTTTTTCTCGAATAATTCGGTACTTTTTTTTTTTTGTTTTATTTTGCAGAATTTGATGAACCTTTAATGCTAACAACGAGTCACATTGCAAGATTGTATGATTTATTGGAGCGCATTCTGAATGGTACCGCTATTTCGGTATTTATTTCATTGATGGTTAGTATGGTAGTGATCATTTTTATCACTTTTAATGTGATCCTATCATTGTTGACAATCATTTGTATCGCTACCATTGTTACTGTAACTATCTCCATCGTACTTTGGTCCGGTGAGTTTCCTTTTTTAATTATTTTTTCAATTATTTTATTGTTTTTAAAATTATCTTTTTTTCCTTCTTTTTTTTTTGTTCTCAAAAAATTTGCTTATTCGAATTCTTTAGAATTCTAAATATAAATAAATGAATAAATATAATTTTTAAGGTTGGACAGTTAATGTTGTGGAAGCAACAATAATTGTACTAACAATTGGTATGAGTTTTGATTATTGTCTTCATTTCGCAGTTGGTTTTCGACTTCATAAAACCGATGATTACAGGTAACTCTAACTACTTACAGTTTTTCATTTTGTGTCATTCATCATTTTATTATTTACTAGCTTTGTATTGCAAGTAATTGTGATATATGAATATTCTTTTCATTATCATTTATCAGTAAAATAATCACTTAATTTAATTGAAGCATTGAAAACTTTGCTTATTATTACTCTAATATATTAGCAAAATTTTTTAGTCATTTTAATTTCAGTACAGTAGCATCTGCTGTTGGTATACCAGTACTTCTATCAGCTGTTTCATCATTCTTTTCGGGATTTGTTTTGATCGGTGCCTCAACACAAGCATTTTTTGAAATTAGTATCTTTCTAATGCTTATTACAATCATAAGTTTTGTCATTGCTGTATTTGTTTTTCCTTCGATGGTTACTTTGTTATTACAATATTGCTCACCACCTGATCCGGCTATGATCACACGACTTTAGTTGATTAAAAATATTTTTGTATACTTTTTCTAATAAAATTCAATTTGTGGCAAAAAAATAAAAAATAAAAATAAAACCGAATGTAAATAAAAATTTCTTCTAAACAATACATGAATATCTAACAAATAGCTAAATATTGAATGTGTTAAAAAGTTATATATACATGCACACACAAATTATTACCGCAAATTTTTTATTATATGCAAATTTTAATTGCTACCTAAAAAAGGTAAAATATAAAAGTTATTGCAGTTTAACAATTACTTCATTATTATTTGAGGTAAAATGTTAAATGAACGATTAGCAAAATTTATATACTTTCAATCCGACTTATGCAATCAGAAAATTATCATATCTTGGAGAATACATTATTACACTATAAATACGTGTTAAGTTCACATTCACGTATAAATTTACGTATTATTCTGTTTCCTTTTATTTAATTGGTTATCTCATCGACTTGTCACTAAATTCCATTCATTATGATCAAAACAATGTTTTTTTTTCCCAAAAAGCAGAAATGAAATTTAAAAAAATTTCTTTTAAAAATGGAAAATTGAAGATATGAATGAAAGAAAATAAAAATATAAACGAAGAAAATAAAAAATATGGACGAAAATACGGAAGTTTATCACAATGGTGCTTTTTTATCATCAAGCAAAATGCTATTATTGATGATTGGAAAGTTGGAAGAATAATCGGTTCAGGATTACTAGAAATTAAATTTATTTTTCTATGGGAGTTGAAAATAGAAAAATTTTAATTTCGGTTTATTTAAACTGAAAATTTAATTTGAAAGAAATTTAGCCGGATAATCTATAATGCTAATTATGCTCGATTAATCTGACTAGTCCACACTGATCACAGACGACAATATTAGCATTAATTCGATTGGAGCGAAAATCTGTAAGAGCATTTCACGTCATTCATCCGGTAACGGATGAATGACATGAAATATTTTTGCAGATTAATATTATTTGCTCAGGTGTAAAAGGTATGATTATTCTCGTTGGACTTATCAAAACATATCATTTGGCAGTGATGGAATTTGCAATAAATCAAGCGGCATCTGATTCTATCAATTGGGAATGTGATATGCTGGAAAGAAAAAAGAATGTTTCTTTTTTTTATTTTCCGTTTTTGTTTCATCTAGAATTAATTATTTCTCTCTGATTCCATAATTAATTCAGTACGCAAAACATTTGGTAGGACGGATCGATTTTGGTTATATACGGCTAATATAGCTAATATTGATAAAGAAAGTGTAAAATTTTCCAAATTAATCGTAATTAACCATAAACAGAATATACAAAGACAATGTAATAGCATAATTTGGAATGAAAACATAAAAGAATAATTCAGAATTTCTGGATATGTAATATCGTCATGGAATATTCGTCAGGAAATCCGGTTAATATAATTAGTGTATTGCGAGGCAGTGAAAACTTCCTGCAAAGATAGCCGGATTTCTTTTTTCAAATTTCATAAGGTAGTTTCTTTTCCTCCCTTTCTTTCGAAAAATTCTGATAATGCAATGAATATAGTAATTGATACTAGTTTTAAATTTTCTTTCACATATCAATTACAGAAAAATTGATCCGTAAAAAGAGAAAAAGGTGGGCATTTTTTTTCTACAAGTTAACAATTAACAATCATGTTTTATAAACCGGTTTGATATTTATTTTGAGAAAAATTTTCAGCATTGTATGGGTCGCCTATGATTAACATTGTCTTTGTTGTGTTCATCGCGACATAAAAACCGGAAAATATTGCACTTTATATTAATAATACCCTTGTCCTGTATGATCTTGGATTGTCACGATTTTATTACGAATCAGTGTAAGTGCCTAAGTTAAGTGCCTAATATCACAGTGCATATGTAGCATACGTGGTACTTATGAAGGAAACGATGACGTAAGCAAAAATGTTCCATTGTGATATTAGGCACTTACACCGATTCGTAATAAAATCGTGATAATCCAAGATTATACCGGAATAAAGGGTAAAGAAGGAGGTGAAAAATTGGAACGGACCGATGATCTTTTGCAGTGATTTTATGTTCTTATCGAATGGATCAAACGCATCTTCAAATAGTTCTCTTTGTTGAGAACACCTTTTCATGATTATCCTGATTTATGCCATCTTTTTAAATTATCACTATTCCAAACAAAATATCTTCTTTGAAACTGACCACCGGAATTTTCTTAAATACAAACAAAAATTGATAGCATTTTATCTTCAATTAAAGTTGTATTATACGTGCAAGTGTAACATATTTTCTTTCAGAAATACTATCAAAGTATGCAAGAGGTTTTTAATATGGCTAAAATTTGTTTATGAAAAGTTCAAAAGTGTTACGATATAGTTCGTTAAACTTTGTTTTCATTGCTTAGCATTTTCTTCTTACATATTTCGTTTATTAGAAAGAAAAGTGAATTTGCAAAATCGTTCATGTTGTTACAACAGAGATGGAAATTTAAAATTTCTGGTTGAATACTCAAATGATTTTGACGGAAAAATTTTAGTGCTATTTACGATATCTGGATGGGGATGATTTGCTGAAATTATTTTTACTTGACCACACTATTAAATGTTGTAGAGTAAAAAAGTAAAAAAGCGAGCAAATGGTAAAAGGCCCATCATCGGATACAGATGCTAAATGGGCTGAACATCTTTCACAATTGGAACTTGAATATGTTCAATGAGCTATATGAGAAAATATCCTTTAATTTAATCGTATTAAAAAGAAAAAAAAAACCCCAGAAACAAATTTTATACATGAAATTTTGAAGTAGCAATATTTTCTCATAGCAATTACAATACCAGGATCAAATGCTAACAAAACTACCCCTTTCTTCATTTTTAACCCATAATTCTGGATTGATCAAACTTTCCATTTCATCGTCCGCACAATTACCTAAAATTATACAACGGTAAAAGATCCAGTAAGGCATGGTCATTAAAATTAAATAAATTTTTAAAATTAAATTTTCAATCTCGATTAAAAAATCATCATAACCGATCTATCAAGTTTACATACGTTTACTCGCAATTCACTTGTTTCACTAATATTGAATGACATCATTAACAATGTGCAAGCATTGCGTACAGTATCATCTTTTTTTTTCGTCTTTTCAATATATACTATTTTACACAAATCTCAACATCAGCATGGTTATAACTGTTATATAACAGTGGCAAAATGAAAAAAAATTAAATTGGACCTAAATCATTTATTATTTGCAATTATTTGCCTGAAATTAATTTCAGTCTGTACAATTAAAAGTTTAAAAGTCAAATAAAAAATTAAGAAAAAGAAAACCTCGACTTTTACGTGGGAAACATTTATCGGTAATATGATGCAAATCGTTAGCGTATTGCATACGGTGATCCTCTATAAGACTTTCATCGCCATCATGGCATGCTTTGACATGCTTAATTACATCCGATTTGGTAATTGTTGTCCATGTTTTTTTACATTCACGACAAAAGAACATTGGGAGGCGTACGTGCCTTCAAAGAATGAATAAGTGGTGAAAACGTTACACAACCTTTGAAAGCATTTTAATCTCGACCGCAGATAAATATAAATTTATTTAAATCAAGAGCTTTTCTTTTTCAAAGTTATTTATAGTACTGAAATTATATTTCTAGTGACTGAAATAATTTTTACTATTCGAAGTTTTCAGATATATCATTCTTGTCTCGGAACATTCTTTTGAAATGTAAAAGATGAGTTCCGGAAATTCGGGAAAAAGTACCAATAGATTAACTCGTACTTGGAATTAGCATGATAGATAAGTGATGAACGTTGACCAGTAACTTGAAGACCGCAGATATTACAAATTCGAGGTGGCCGTGATCGTTTCTTTGTTTGCTGCGACAACATGTCGCTATTAGCTGTTAAGTTATTTGATGGATCAACGATATCGGTTGGCTCACACCCGATTACAGCTACATTAGCACTGCTGCCAGCTTCGTTTCGGTATAAATCACCCAAAATGCTCACTAGAAAAAAACATTAAATATTATAATTGCAATGACAGTTAGAACAAACGATTGAAAGTAAAAATTAATTCAGTTGATTGCTCACCAATATTCACTTGATCCGGATCATGTTGTAACACAGCACCTGAGAATGTATTCGACTGTGAATCTGATTCCTTTTCCAAAGCACTATCTTCTGGTTCTACTTCGCTACCCTAGGAAAATTTACAATAGCAAAATCTTAATCCTATTTATGTCTAAAGATTTAAAAGATAAATATCGAAGTTACAAAGAATGATTTGATAATGAATATATAGTAAGAAAAAAGAGAACAAAAAAGAGGCTGTTTAGCTTTTGAAATGTTATTACAAGAAAACATACTTTAGCACTTTCGACTTTTGCTTCTTTTTCGGTTTCAGTCATACGAGTCAACTCATCGGAATCTACCGAGGCAGCACACAGTTCACCGGAACTGAGTAATAAGGGATAGTCGGTTATTCTTCAATAAAAGGAACTAATAAAAGGAACAAAAGATTTAATTGAAAACAACACTGAAGAAAACAAAATAAAGCAAACAATCATATAAACAAACTTTCTTCGCTTGTATGCTCCAAACGGAATTTTTGATACCGCAACAGAATGATGTAACATTTCCCTGACTTTCTCACGCTTACGATGAAAATCTGGCGTGACCTTATACTTTACCTGAAAATGGACAAAGTAAAACCTTCTTGTATCTATCTGGTCACATTACAAAAAAAAATATCTTATGGATTTGCAAGCTTGAATATTTCTCGAAAACATACATAAACAATCTCTGAGCTAAGCTTACAAATGATTTATGATTTGATAATGAATATTTAATGAGAAACAAGAACAAAAAGGAGGCTGTTTAGCTTCTTTCAAATTCCCCTTCGTCAAAGAATAATTGAAAAAGATTAGGGAAGAAGAATTTCAAATAATTTAATAACAATTAGTTAGCTAAGTGTTATTTATTCAGACTTTTTTTTCAATAATAATATCTTAGGTGAATAAATATTATTCTTGTGAATATTAAAGAAATCATTTGCTTAATTATGAACGTATAATATGCTTGACACAATTTTGAACTCAGCATTGATAGTTGACATTGAACGGTACGTATTAATGAAATAATTTAAGCAACTAACATAAAATTCTTTTAATCCATGATCTGTGGTATAATGACTGATTAAAGCGAATTCAGTTGGAAATTTTGAAAAACGACACCGTTCGCATTCATACGGTATATGACTGATATGATCTGCAGCAATGTGTATTTCCAGTTCTTCCACTGTTTCATACGTCGGAGCTTGCAATGGACAAACAACGCAACGAAACATTCGTGACTGAAAATTTTCAAAATTCAATAATCGTTAATTTTTAATTTATTATCGACGAATGTTTGGTTTTATACTACTGTTGTCAAAAGAATTAATCTCAGCATTAGATATTCATCATCCATTCATACATCGTGTGAAAAGAGAATTTTTAATTAACCAAAAAACATACAATAACACATATCGTAAAATATACAATATTAATAAAACTGTATATGTTAACGGTTTAAGAAAAATCATGTTAATAAAGATGAAAATTTAAACAAATCAGATTAGAAGCAAGAAATTTATATATTTGATGAGATTCACTGTTGAAAAAATTAAATGAAATAGAAAAAGGAAGATAAATAACTGTAGAAAATGTTCATCAACCGTAATCACATACAGTATTTACTAATGACTAAGGGATTACGATCAATTTCTTAGCTATATACGGTACAGCAGACGACGATTAAAAGAAGTTTGAGTTTCGAAAGGTTTTTCAAATGCTCATTTCCTATTGCAGAGAGATCAATGATAAATTTAATATTTCAAATGAAATGAAAAAGTAAATATTCATAATTAAGTTGAAAAAAAATTAATGATAGAGGCAGTAGACGTTAATGTTGATGAGAGCAGTAGCATTAATAGTAGTATGATGATTGCAGCGGTAGTGCTGGTGGTAATGGTAATGGTAATGGTAATGGTAATGGTAATGGTAATGGTAATGGTAATGGTAATGGTAATGGTAATGGTAATGGTAATGGTAATGGTANNNNTAATGGTAATGGTAATGGTAATGGTAATGGTAATGGTAGTGGTAGTGGTAGTGGTAGTGGTAGTGGTAGTGGTAGCAGTAGCAGTAGCAGTAGCAGTAGCAGTAGCAGTAGCAGTAGCAGTAGCAGTAGCAGTAGCAGTAGCAGTAGCAGTAGCAGTAGTATTAGCAGTAGTAGTCGTATTAGTATCAGCAGTAGCACTATTAGCAGTAATGGTAGCGGTAGTGGTAGTGGTAGTGGCAGCAGCAGTAGTAGTAGTAGTAGTAGTAAATAGTGATGTGGTTTTGGATGATATAGGAGTATTGGTGAATGAATGATTTGCTGCTCCATTCCTTCCTTCCTTTCCTTCCCCATTCATTTCTGTTCCATTCATTTTCCCCATCTATGAAAAGTGGGAGGAGAATGAAAAAGAACGAGGGAAAAGGAGGAGGGACGGAGAGGAAAAGGAGGAAAAGGAATGGATGAAAGAAAAGAAGGAAGAAGGAAGAAGGACATAACGTATAGAATAAAATTAAATCGATTGGTTCGAGGAATTGTTATTGATAATGACTATAGGCTTTTTCATCATAAATGAAAGCATGGACCATGAAAATGGTAAGGAAATAAGAAAGAGAGAGAGAGAGGGAGGGAGGAACAGAGAAGGAGAGAGAGGGAGGAAGGAACGGAGAAGGAGAGAGAGGGAGGAAGGAACGGAGAAGGAGAGAAAGAGAGGAATATATGACATATACGTCATTTTTTTTTGAGGACAATATATAGTAAAATATGATTATGCAAAGAAAAAGAAATGAATAACAGTATTTTTCATATTAAAGTGAAAGATCAGATCAACAGGATATTTACCAAAAAAAAAAGAAAAAAGTGACATGATTTTATCATTTCGAGGTATATTTTTTGTTATCCTGCAATATCGTTTGAAATATTTTAATTTTAAATTATTAACTAAATCATTCTAATTTTATTGATGATGATGATGATGATGATGATGATGATGATGA